TGGGGGTTTAAATGGAGAGAAAATGTTTTGAGAAACGATGTACAAATGCACTTTACACAATTGATGTGTGTATGGATTGGGATAACAGTTGTATGAGTCCCTAATAAAATGTTAAAAAAAACAAAAAAGAACATGGATATTGTAGTAGTTACATAGTCTCGAGTCAACTTGAGAGTATTATGAGTGAAGGGGTGGAGTCCAGCCTGTCAATCGGGTCATAGCCAATGAGGCCTCGGTGTGGACGTGGCCTTCTCATAAGAATTCTGGGACTACTTCTCTTCCTCCCTGGAGGTGGGACACACCCTTTCTTTGCTTCACCTTCCTGTGGACAAGCCAGATGGAGTCATGCTGATGGCAGCCAGATCCCTAGGGATGCTTCTACCACCACGGGACCCACTGGCCTGTGATTTTCCTGCATTCAGCATCACTGCATCTGCTGCATGAATCTGAAGAGAAATTCATGGGCTAATATTGAACTTAGGGGCTTGATTTGGACTGGGCTGGGATGTTTCATTGATGCATCATTGCTTCTTGATATAAAGTTCTCTCGTACACATATACGAGTGCCACTGGATTTGTTTCTCTTGCCAGCCCACACTGACACAGATGAAATGTGCCTGCCTTCAGCATGAAGCCGGTGCTGAGAAGGGGAAAGTTAGTGAGAACAGCATTGAGCCTGGAGAGGAGGCGGTGTGTGGACCGACGGTGAAGAACCGCGTTGCACTAATGGTGAGTGGGATCGAATCCACAATTAAGTTTCATGTGTAAAACTTGTGTCAACCAGAAACTTTATGAAATACACTACTGGCAGGGGTTTTCTATCCCCTCTCCTCTGGGTCCCTGATTCCCCCACCCACGCATAGATCTATAGTGTTCCATATTATTTCATGCCCACTAGAGCTGTTTGTTAAAACTTAGACTAGGACCGAACGTAGAAGGAAATTTTATCCAGACTAAATAGGCTTCATCCCTTTGGGGGATCATTATCTGAAAATCCTGCCCTCCCAGTGGAACACCTTGACAACAAATTGAACAATTTCGAGGAGATCCTTTCCCTCGGTAAGGAAATATATTGAACCTGCTTTTCTAATCCATACCTGGCCTTCAGATACGCTCCAGCTGGGGATATGGAGAATAATTCATAGGGCCACGGCGGAGTCTCAGACGATTCTGGGCTCTTTTTCCATCCATCCTCATGGATGTGTTCATGTATCCTATGCAGCATACATAAGCCTTGATCGGAAAGGATTCTACAGGGGCTTGTCCATTCTGGACATAAGAAGTTAGACCATCATACCCAACTTGTGTCCATTTACACAGGCACCTAGAAAGTAACTAAACTGGGAAGGAAGCTTTTTCGCTTGGGAATTTATGAAGGCCATCAATGGATTTGTTGAATGACTAAGTTCTTATTCTGAAATGACAATAGTGAAACATTTTATAATATGGACTTGAAGGAAACAGAGGAAGGATCTAGGAAGCAAAGCTATAGATAGAGGTATTAACAGAGGTGTGTACTTATGTAACTACATTCATCCATAAAAATAGAGGTATTGACCTATGTACATATAGTTATAAGGCAATACACTGAGGCTGCAGATGGACCTTGGTCCTCAGCTCATACCCTCCCTCATTACAACAACACTTTGTTTTAACAAAATGGCATTTTGTGATGCTCACCCCCCCGCACACACACAACCGCTGAAGACAAAATGGGTGCATAAGCAAATGTGGTGAAGACAGCAGATGGTGCCCAGCTATTAAAAGATATAGTGGCTGGGGTCTTAAAAGCTTGAAGTTAAACAAGCAGCCATCCAACAGTGAAGCAACAAGCCCACATGGAAGAAGCACACCAACCGGTGTGATCATGAGGTGTCATCGGGACCAGGTAACAGGCATCAGAAGATTCATAACAAACCATGAACAAACAAACAAAAATGCATTGGTGAGAATGAGGGGGGTCGGAGCAGAGACCCAAAGTCCATCTGTAGACAATGAAACATCCCCCAACAGAGAGGTTTCAGGGAAGGGATAAGTCAATCAGGGTGCAGCATAGCACCGATGGATCACGCATACCTCTGATTCCTTGAGGCTTCCTCACCCCCCACTATCATGACCCCAGTGTTGCTTCCAATTCTGGACTGGACCAGAACATGTACATAGGTATAGGAAAGAGATAAAGCTCAGGACACACAGAACCCAGGAACAGGAATGGGAGTAGAGATACCAAAAGGGTAGGGGGAAAGGGTGGAAGAGGATGCCGGGCGCAATGGATGACATGTAATCACACACCCTCATCCAGGGGGAAGAACAGCAGAAACCAGAGGGGAAAGGAGACAGTGGTCAGTGTGAAATATGAAAATAACAATCTATTATCTCCCAAGGGGCCACAAGGGTGAGGGGGCTGGGAAGAGATGTTGAGCCCAAGGGCTCAATAGAAAGTAAAAGTCTAGAAAAGAACGAAGGCCATACATGTACTAATATTGCGGATACATTTGATGTATGGATTGTAAAGAGAGTTGTAAGAGCCCCCAATAAAATGATCTTCAAAGAAATGCACTTGAATACAGTAGAAGATATTCTGCAGTTAATATACCCTGTAGTGAAGATTCAGCTAGCGATGACCCTTAGAAGCTGGACTAAACCCCAAGAACTGTCTCTGTTTGGGTTCTTTTGGGTTTCATTAATGGATTTGTCTCGGCCCCCTGGGTTGGGATTCCACTTCTCTTTTCAGGGCCCTTATTTCTCGCAGTGGGTTTATAGACTGGGCTTGTGCATCCCTCAGAGTACAGCCTTTATGCGCTTACCAAGTGCATTCTACAGAAGGCTTTGCTTTTCCATGAAAAAGCCCCGTAAAATGCTGGCAGCGTCCTTGATTGCTTAACAGGAATGGCTGTATGTTGCTGCAGCTGTATGGCTCTCTAACCTGAGTGCTTCGTGACCCCACTTTCACGCTGGTCCTGCTATGTGATGGCAGAAAATTGGGGAGCCAGGGTGCCTGTATTTTGATGCCATTACTATTCTTACTTGCCCTCTTCCCTACCCCTGGAGTAACCACTGAGGATTTCCACCGAACATGACGTAACCTTAGTGTCACTGCCAGTAGAAAAGATGTAGAAATAAGACCAAACTTACCATTCTCAATCTGATACAAGATCACAAGTAAACTCTCTGAAGAGGAAGGGAGTTTTAAGAAAACCCTAAGATTATTTATAAATATTGATTCTCCCTGTCGTCTCCGTTCCTTATTACCATAGTGGTTTTCAACCCTGGCAGATGGAATTTTCCAAAGAGGACTGTAACAATCTCTCTCATCCCATATGCTCTTCCGCAATGTGACGTTGCTAACATCCCATCTTTACTCCCTTGAGTCTGGGGGGTCCCTCTGAATGCTTTGATAATAGAATACGGTAGAAGCGATGTCCCAATTTCAAGCCATTGGCTGGCATGACCGTTTCAATTTCTGCCTCTTAAAAAAACCGACTGCTATATAAAAAGTCTAACTACCCTGAGACCACGAGAGTCTCAAACTACGTGGAGGGGCCCTAGAGGACGAGTTGCTATGCAGAGAGAGAGAAGCCAAGGAAGAGTGAAGGAGCCATCTTCAACAAAAAACCCTTCAGGTGACTGTATGTCGACAATTGCATGAGAGATCTCAAGCAAGACATTAGCAGCTTAGCTTAATCAGCCCACAAAACTGTGAGCGATAATAAGCTTTGCACTGAGCTACTGCGTTCTGGAATGGTTTATTAAGCCACAATAGATAGATGGAACGAACCCCATGCTGACCATAGAAGGGAGCAGAACAAATCCTTCTTCCCAAACTTGAAGTGGAGAAGCTCTGCTTTTTTTCCTTACTTTATATCCTGGGGTCCTTCCTAAGAAATTATTTGTGAAAACAATGGTTTCACCTCACAAAACCATTTGACTATTTACTGCCACGAATAACTGAGAGTTGGCTAAATAAACATGAGCATCATAGAAAACGGAACGTGGCTTCAGACCTCCCCTGACCAGGTTCTTTCAGATATAAACATGCATAAAGCCATGCTCAAAGAATGTGTATGTGTCCAGTTCCTAAAGTACCTGACTGCGGTTGCTTCGGGTTGGAGCTATCAAATCTATTTCTGCTCATAGCAACCCCCAGGGACAGAGTAGAAAACTCCCGTGGTGTTTTCAAAGCTGAAATTTTTTTTTTATGTGACAAAGAATCTTTAAGTGATCACTAGTATAGTAAGTAATGACAGGTAACACTTTCTTATATTCTATTATCTAGTAACTTCTATTAAGAAAAACTAAATGCAGGCCAAATTAAACTAGTGCAGGTGGTCCCTGCTTTCCCAAAGTTCACTGTATGTCACTTGGCATTTCTGAAAGACCTACATTGGTGCCTGCTTTCACGACTGGAAAGAAACCCAGAGAATTTTTGTTTTTATATAGAAGGGGGGGGAAGGGGTGAGCAAGATGAGTATTCAGAGTTTTATAGCCAGCCTTTTTAAAAAAATCATTTTATTAGGGGCTCATACTACTTTTATCACAATCCATACATACATCAATTGCGTAAAGCGCATTTGTACATTAATTGCCCTCATCATTCTCAAAACATTTCCTCTCCACTTAAGCCCCCGGCATTAGGTCCTCATTTTTCCCCTC